CAAAGTTCAATGATCATAGACCTTCGAGTGTCCAACATGTGCCTCTAAATCAATTGGAAAACGAAAGCCCCTAAAATTTAAAAGGAGGCTACCGTGACCTACTTTTCTGTTAAAATGATGTGAAGTCCCACAACTTTCAAGATTTGATGATCCTAGTCTTTATTGCAAGCAATAAAGTGTAAATTTTTGTCAACTTTGAAGTGATCTTGAGACCACACCCTTTGACTCAGGGTCATGCCTTGAACAATTTTTAATCTTCAACATATCCTTACCCTTGCATTTTAGTTTGATGAAAAATCTGGTCGGTTGTCCTGGAGAAGATTTTCTAGCAACCAGTACTTTTGGTTTATTTTCCTGATTACATGTATATCCTCTTGTTTCAGGGTCCCACCTTTAGTTTTAGTATAAATTATAGCCTTTAGGCCAAGGATACCTTGTGACAAATTTGACAGTGATTGGCCTAGGGGTTCTTGAGTTATGCTCCATATTCTAAAAAAGTTTACGCTCACTGCATGACTCACACCACAAAGGTGGCCAAAGCATTAACTCTTTGAGCCTTTGGCTCAGAGGAGCTATAAAGAAAACTTGAGATTTTTATTTTCTAATGAGCTCTTCTTCATTTACTTTAAAAGCAGGAATATCCATTGGGGATTTCATTTCGTAGTTAAAATTAGCAAAGAAATTACATTTAACATTTTTTATACGAATAATTATATATTTGATATTTATGGTTACTTTTCAAACAATGAAATGCAAGCAAACCTTTTTATATGACAAATTAACGAAATTTTGTTCCAACAAAAATTTATGCTTCTAACAATGTATATTTATTCGCGCCAAAGATTCTGTTGTCATCATTTTACATGTATATATTAAAAGACAAAACATGTATGTATAAAATTAAATAAATGAATTAAAACTTTAATCAGAAAAGATGAATTTCTTTTAATAAAATCAAGTGATACACAATTACATTCAGTTGTACAGCAAATTGATAACATTTAACTTATTTTATTTTTATCAAACTTTACAACTAGGTTATAAAATGACTATGCCATTTCCCTTCATACATATTATTTCAAACATATTTATGTACATATTTTTCAAAAGCATGAATAAACACGGAAAAACATAATAATCAGGAGACAAACATTCAACATTTACAAGGATACGTTCAATAGATATATATTACACAAGTCGTACAGGGATTGTAATACGTAATTACTACATCAACCAAATGTGACAGAGCCTTGTATATAATATGTTTCAAGCGTGGAATTCCAAGTAACTGAGGTAATAAAATGCCCTTAATACCTACTATGACCCAGTTAGTTTTTTCTTGCCCAGTGGTTTTTGAGACAAAGAGTTTTAAAGATTTTTGCTGTATATTTTAATGTAAAATTTGTATTTTTCATTGTGGCCCCGCCCACAGTTGTTTATCAAAGTTTAAAAGAAATTTACTATTGCAAGTCGAAGTTCGAAAGGTTTCACTGTGGTACGTGTAAATCAAAGTTACAAAGTTCTTACTTTGATACCATTAAGTATAGTATTAATCTATAGTTCAGTGTAGTGATTTTTGTTGGAGTTATCGCAAAAGTGATTGTGCAGGTTTTGGAATATAGTTGGTTCCATTACTTTCACAAAACAACTTTAGAATGACACGGGCCTATTATTACACATAATAGGTTGTATATTCATATAGTTTAACGCCGAGTCGGCAATTTTCAGCCATGTTTCGGCGGAACACATAATGGAAGGATTATACACATCATGGAAAATCATCTTCCTTAAATAAACAAGAAATCTGTCCATAGAACATGAATGCCCCGCCGAGGATTTATTAATAATACAGCATGGAAATGTGTATTAGTGTATAAAATTTGATCAAAATATTTTGAAAAGTGATGCAGTTGAATTTCTTACATCATAATGTATCAGCATATGAAGTTTGACATCAATTTCCGAAAAGGGAGGCCAAGATCAAACAAATGTTGAAGGAATTGAAAAGCTCTCAATAGTATGTATCAGCATTAAAGTTGAAAAAACTAGCATAATTGTTTGCCTAAAAAACTGACCTTTGATAAAAGTGAGGTCAAGGTCAAACAAAAGGTGGAATTCAAAAATGATGATGCAGTTGATTTGCTTACATAGGTATGTACAGTGCTCCAAGTTGCGACTAAAATGGTCGCATTTGTGACCCTAAAATTGATTTTGCGACTAAAAATGAAAACACACTCGCATTTTCGCGACTGAGAAAATTTGAGCTGGAAACGTCCACTTTTAAGATCGGGATCGAGATTTCATTTGCAAAGATTCTCTATCAAGAAAATATTTGAAGACATATACTTTAATACACTTTACAAAGCGTCGCATGTACTTAGATCACGTAATGTTATGGCAGCATGCTGGACAAAGTTTGATAGAATCAGAGACGTGTATAAATAATGTTCCTGATAGAATGGCATCCAAACTTCGTAAACTTTCTAAGATCGATCTATCCGACCTTGTTATTGAAGCATTTGGTCAACTGCTTGCATATCACAATGAATCATGCTAATAAAGAGTGTTTTGGTGGCATTTATAATGACTGTGTAATGGGTTAGGTACGTAGTAGTAAGTAAACATGACAAACAGCAGGCAAAGTCCTGTCTCAAAAGCTGTCAAGCTTGTATTTTCGTTTGATAAATTTTGTTTTCTGTAATCAGATTACTTGTGTTCTTCTGTACAACCATAAGGGTACATGTATTCAATAAAAATATTTCATTCAACCTAGCAAATTTTTATAGTCACAGTAATAAGTAATCTTTGATATAATAAGGACATAATACATATCCGTATTTAAATCATCAAGTTTTATTCACAAAATGAATTTTTTATGGCGAGTGAAATATTTGATTATGGCAACCAGAAATTCTGAAATGGCGATCCAAAAATATTTTAGGTCGCCATTTTGCGACCTAAGAGCAAGTATGACTTGGAGCACTGATGTATTAGTATAAGAAGTATGACACTAATTAAGGAAAAGTGAGGTCAAAAAATGTCAAGGTCAAAATGATAATGCAGTTGAATACATCTCATCAGTATGCATAAACATATGAAGTTGAAATAAATATTATGAATGTTTTTTTTTTTTAAATTGACTTTAACACAATTTATAAAAGTGAGGTCAAGGTCAAAAAGAAAGTCAAGGTAAAAAAAAAGTTGAGGCAGTTGAATTGCTAACATTAGTATGTATCAGCAGATGAAGTATCTCACTAATTCAGGAAAAGTGAGGTCAAGGTAAAAAAATATTGATACAACTGAATAGCTCTCATCAGTATGTATCAGCATGTGAAGTTTGATAACATCATCTGGAATGGTATGTTAAATACTGAACTAAGCACTAAAATAAGAAATGTGAGTTGAGGATCAAAGTAAATGTCAACGTAAAATAATGTTGATGCAGGTTCATGGTGCTAGTCGATATCTATCAGCATTTGAAGTTTGATGAAAATATCTTGGTTAATTTCTTTATAACTGAGCTTTAAAAAGAACTATATGTAAAGTATGACGGAAGGACAGACGGAAGACGGACATGACAAAAACTATTTGCACCGGCCATACTCATGGTGGGGCATAAAAAAAAACATTGCGTAGGCAATACAACACATACAAGGACAAGAGGCACATGGGCCACATCGCTCACCTGAGAAGCTTTGACCATTCTGTTCTTTACCAGATTTCTTTCTTGAAATACATAATGTATCCCCGTCCTACCCCACTGATCATACTTTAAACATTTTGAAATCTATACTACCCCAGGTTCCTTCCATGTGCACATAAGTTTCAGCTTTTCTGGCCCAGTGGTTCTTGGGAAGAAGATTTTCAAAGATTTTTCCTATATATTTTTATATGTAAAACTGATTCACCATTGTGGCCCCGCCCTTCCCCTGGGGGTCATGATTTGAAATATTTAGAATCTAAACTACCCCAGGTTGCTTCCACATAAGTTTCAACTTTTCTGGCCCAGTGGTTCTTGAGAAGAAGATTTTCAAAGATTTTTCCTATATATTTCTATATAAAACTTTGATTCCCCATAGTGGCCCCGCCCTTCCCCCGGGGAGTTAAGATTTGATCAATTTAAAATCTACACTACCCCAGGATGCTTCCACATAAGTTTCAGCTTTTCTGGCCCAATGGTTCTTGAGAAGAAGATTTTTTAATGACCCCACCCTATTTTTTGTCTTTTCTTGATTATCTCCCCTTGTGACAGGACTTGGCCCTTTTCTTTAACAAATTAAATATCCCTTTACCCAAGGATGCTTTGTACTAAGTTTGGTCAAAATTGGCCCAGTGGTTCTTGAGAAGAAGTCGAAAATGTTAAAAGTTTACAGACGGACAAACGGACGGACGGACGACGGACAAAATGTGATCAGAAAAGCTCACTTGAGCCTTCGGCTCAGATGAGCTAAACACTATAATTACTGTATTGCAGTAGTTTACATTCTAGATTTCAAAATCTTGTGATCGATTAAATGAAAAATTTGCATTCAAATGAAAATGTAAGATTTTAAAATGAGTACATACGTACTCTTATGCATCATACGTTGTTCTACACTTCTACAGTTACACGTGTAATTGATATACCACACTAATTGAGTACACAGTTTTGAAAATACATTCTTTTGCATTCTGATATATCTTGAAATGTGACTTTTATGTGCCCCTCTTTGAATTTTGACCTCCATTCATGATATTGTAGTACTGTAAATGTATATATTTACATTTGGCTGTGTATTCGTTTTAGTGCTTTTACAGGGAAGAAACTTCTGCTTACTCAAGTACAATGCTATATGTCTTGCACATGTATACATATTTAAGAATAATCTGAAATGCGCTAAATCAAATCTATGCTAACTTGTTCAAAAGTTAATTTTATCCTTAATATCATAAAAGCTAAATGTAATCTATTTTCATTATGTTTTCATCGTTAAAAAGCGATAAATTCTTTGTAATCAGTTGCCCCAGAATTGGGATAAGAATATTATGATGAATCTCAGGTTTACATATCAGATCCTACAAAAAAAAAATCACTGCAGTATTCGATAATGAATTCAGACTACTTTAACGATATACACATTCACATAGTTAAACGATTTATGAGTAATACCCCTAATTTGTAGCATCTTTGCTTTCAAGCTTTCTTTCTTTAAAATCCGACAGTATTGGTTTCACTGTAACCCGCTTACAGTGATATTTTCAAATTTTGGCAGATATCTGAAAATGTCGACCAGTTTGTACGTTATGATTCAAACATTTCTCTCCGCATTCAAAGATTGGTTATCTTAATTTGTAGCATCTATGTAAGGTTTGAACATGGATTCGAATTCTTGTATATTTAATTTGATTTTCTCCCACATTTCTTTCATTTTTTTAAAAGTATCTTCATCTTCCTCCTTTATGTGTAGTTTTTGAATATTTTCAAGCTTATCCAAGTATGTTTTTCCAGTGAAGGTTTCCAATCTCTTGCAGATGTCTGACATTGTCGACCAGGTGTCATTGAATTCTGTCTGAGGGGTGGATGCTGAGCTCACGTGTGCAGTCAAACTGTTTCGGATTGACCTAATTCTCTCGATATCATCACCCACGGTCACTTCTCCTGCTGTAGGCTCGTCGCCCCATTTTCCTTTTGTCGGTTTCGGGATCTTTGAACAAATGTTTCTGATCAGTGTGTATGTCAATGAAATATCAAAAGTCTTATATCCTGATTGTTGAGGATTTTGTAAGAGGTATTCCTGCTCGGGGCGCAATCTTTTATAAATTGATGATGCTTTCACCTTGTTGTAAATTAGGAAAGGGGGGACCTCCATCTCTAGTATATCTCTGTATATCTGATTTAACACATCGTTTATTGCCATTCCAAGTTTGGCAAATCTAGTGCGGCCGCCAAGATCTTGTCCAGAAGCTGTCAAAGTGCTGGGATTACTTGGTTTGGTCTGAAACAAGATTTCACCTCATTTACTTAATGTTACTAAGCGATTTTAAATGAAGCATATTAAATAACTAAGAAATAAAACATATTTTTAATTAAATGTTACATATAAATTTGAATGTTGCTACATGTATGACTTAAAAGGATCTAAATGTCATATAATCATTCAAAAGAAATTATCAGAGTTGATAAATTGGTTTACATTTGCAAAATGTATGTTTTCTGTATTGATGTACTGTAGTATCATACATTTCAGAAGAATTACCTGTTCCCAATATTTTGTTATATCTTCTGTGACTATACGGTGCTTTTTCTTTGCCGGACAGGATGGACAAAGAAATGATTCTTTGATAAACTTAGATTCACTAATGACAGCGCTTTCTTTGCTGTCGCAAAATCCAGTGAATTTGCATTTGAATGCAATCTGGAAATCCGAGTTTTTCTGGAATGTGTTGGAGAGATTGTGTAATATACTCTCGATGTTTTCTCTAATACGGTGACAGGTTGAAACATCAACTTCTCCCTCCACAACAAATACTTGCACCTGAATTTCTGTTTGAGTCATTCCAATCATGATGTTATGATGTTGGTCAGGAAACATGAAAATAGCTGCAGTCTGGTAAATGCATCCTCTTTCTTCATCTGTAAAAATCTCCCAAGGAATCTGCATGCACATTGCTACAAGGCGATGGAAAATTTCCACAGGAAGAAAATCAAATGTGTAGCAGAGGATGGAGGAAGCATGGTATAATGAAAAACAGTCTACTGGAAATTGCATCTTGTTCATACACGGGACATACCATATTTTGTCGCTCATTTTAGCTAAGAGTCCTAACTTCTCCATGTACATCATGATGTCCTCTTTATGTTCGATGTAATCATTGTTGTTCATTCTCCATATAGCAGATAGCAGTGCTTCATCTAATTCTCCAGTTTCATTGAATTTGTCCCATTCTGAGGCAAATTCAAATAAATCTTCTTGTGCATGGTTTTTATCTGTTATGACATTTCTAAATGCATCTGCAAACCACTGAACATCGAGAATAATAACTTTATTGAGGAATTGTTGATTGAAGTGTATAATTTCTCTGACGTCATGGAAGAACTGCAGCATGGCATCCATATCTTCAATATTATGGAGCTTTATTCCCTCTGGCAATGTTTCATTGAAAGACTGAAGTTCACTCCTACTCAAAATCTTGCGAATTTTCTTTTCCTGAAAGAATGTTTCAAACATAGCCCAAGACTGTGGAAGCTCTTCACCCCAGTGATCAAGCTTGCACACGACATCAGCAATGGACAGCTTAAGTTTTTCAATGCTTTCATTGTCATGGAATCCAACCGCAAATCGACGTTTCACATCAATATGTTTTTTTGCAAAGACTTCTTCTTCATGTCAAGAGTCTTCCATACTTCTCGGAAAAACAGTTCTTTTTCCTAACGAAAACAAATTCCTTATTTTATTTTATGCTAACAATTAGTCATTGTAAAATGATGTTCATAATCATACAATGATTGCTAATGTTTGTTATGAAACACATGTATACCTGTACATATTATATTAAATACTTACAGATCAGAAAAACCATGATAAAGTAATATATTTGAGTACACAATAAACAAGAGGCCCATGGGCCACATCCCTCACCTGAGCACTAAGGGTAGGAAAAAGTAGAAAATGGATTTTTATTGTAAAGTTTAAATCCAAAAGTAGTCCCATGACCAATCATGGATTTGCTATTTTTTAGAAAATGATTTTTAAAGAATTTTCCTATATATTTCTATGTAAAACTTTGGTCGGCCATTTTGGCCCCGCCCTACCCCCAGGGTCATGATTTGAACAAACTTGAATCTACACTACCTAAGCATGCTTCCATATAAATATGATGAATTATGGCTTTGACATTCTTGAGAAGAAGATTTTTAAAGAATTTTCCTATATATTTCTATGTAAAACTTTGGTCGGCCATTTTGGCCCCGCCCTATCCCCCGGGGTCATGATTTGAACAAAATTGAATCTACACTACCTGAGGATGTTTCCCCATAAGTTTCATCTTTCCTGGTACAGTGGTTCTTGAGAAGAATATTTTTAAAATATGCCACCAAATTTTCATTAATTCCCAATTATCTCCCCTTGAATGAGGGTGTGGCCCTTCATTTGAACAAACTTGAATCCCCTCACCCAAGGATACTTTGTTGCAAGTTTGGTTGAAATTGGCCCAGCTGTTCTTGAGAAGAAGTTGAAAATGTAAAAAGTTTACAGACAGACGCCCAGACAGACAGATGGACTTCGGACAAAATGTGATCAGGTGAGCTAATAACAGTATTTAATAGTGATACCTTTTCTGTTTTGTTCTCACTGTGTGTTCCAACCAGGATGACAGGAGCCTTATCATTGCCATATTGATGAATGGACTTCATCCAGAATTCAAGATAATCTGAAAAACAAAGAAACATTCAGCTGTAAGAGTTTTCATTAAGATAGATTGCAGGAAATGATGGCAGGCATAATAAAAAACTCTATGTGTCAGAGTCCTTTTCAAGGCAGGGCATACATGTAACAAATTGACTGTCTTCGTAAAGCTGCAACGAAGGACAACCAAAATGAAAAATAATTCTCATTTAGGATAAAAGTTTCAAAATTCAATGGAACAGATAGGTTCTGAAAAGATTGAAAATTTAATTATTTCCTTTTTTTAAAAATGTCAATAAGTTAACATTTACCAATAAATTTTGATCTGATGCAGTGGTCCTTTTGATACTGTGAAGTAAAAAGACGGAATTGCTTTCCGTCACGTGATCTCGAATCTCAGATACGCACAGATTGCGTTATCGACAGAAATAGAGACACGTGATTTAAAAAAGTTTTTTTTCAAGAATAACCAAGAAGCAATAATTGAGCTATGTTTATTTATTATTTATAGTACAAATCGGAAGCTTCAATATAGATTCTTAACCTCATATTTCGAAGATATTGGATGACACCAAAGCTATCCATGGAATTGCATGTTATCTTACAGATCTTTGTTTACTTGCGCTTTTTATTTCCGAGAATATATTTCAAGAAGTATCCCAAACGCAGATATCGTCATTTACAAAAAAAAAAAACAATTGCTGATTGGTCGACCGGGTGTACTGAGAAAAAAAAGCAAACTTCTATCAACTACGTATGACAAGGTATTATGAGGAGAGTTGCGTATCAGAAATCCTTGGCTAGCGAAGATGGGGCCATACATGTAATAATTAAAATATTACCTCTGTGTGTCCATCCCCCGTAAATGGAGCCTTCCTGACAACACACTTCTTCTCCAACCTTATCATCAAACTTCTTCTCCATATTCAGCACCAGAATGAAGAACGCCCGCGGACTCAAAAAAATTTGGTGTGAGGCATAATATGAACACTGTCCTGCAAAGTCAGTCATGGTTATTTTTTTATCTGGATCTTCTGAAATATCTTCTGCACCTATCTGTAAATTTCCAGAAATTTCTGGACTATGACAAATATCTTTTCTTTCCTTCATAACTTCTGCTACATTTTCTGGTGATGTGGCCCCCTGTGGTTCATGGGATGAGGTAGGGTTAATGT